GCCACCGTAGATACGTGTATATTATTTTAAGTAAACACATATGCCATCATAGATACGTGTATATCAGTTAACACATCTGCTACCATAGATACTGCCACCATAGATACATGTATAGTTATCAAGTAAACACATCTGCCGCCGTAGATACGTGTATATCAAGTAAACACATCTGTCGCCGTAGATACGTGTATGTCAAGTAAACACATCTGCCGCCGTAGATACGTGTATATCAAGTTAACACATCTGCCGCCGTAGATACGTGTATATCAAGTAAACACATCTGCCGCCTTAGATACGTGTATATCAAGTAAACACATCTGCCGCCGTAGATACGTGTATATCAAGTAAACACATCTGCCCCCATAGATACGTATATATCAAGTAAACACATCTGCCACCATAGATACGTGTATATCAAGTAAACACATCTGCCACCATAGATACGTGTATATCAAGTAAACACATCTGCCATCATAGATACGTGTATATCACAACACATCTGCCACCGTAGATACGTTTATATCAAGTAAACACATCTGCCACCGTAGATATGTGTATATCAAGTAAACACATCTGCCACCGTAGATACGTGTATATCAAGTAAACACATCTGCCGCCGTAAATACGTGACTGTATATTAGGTAAACACATGAAATCAAGTCTTGATTATGACCTGCATTTTTGTTAAGTGCGATTTTATTTTAATATAGATCTGTTAGTTTAAGATTAATTCTAGTGGTAAAACATGTTATATTACTTGACAAAACTAATAATGTTTTTAATTATTATATATAATAGCTAATTTTAAACATTTTGATAGAATTTTACCTTATCATAACATTATATGTACCAATCATTTTAAGTAAGGACATCCTAATCAACTAAATGAAGGACAGTACGGTATAATAATTTTTTTTTAATTTAAAGTCATCGTTATCTTTTTGAATATCATTAAAGTTCGTATAGCTGTATATTTAATTGACTAAATCACGATGAGAAAAAATGAATGTTTTTATAAAACTCTATCATTATCTATTATATATCGATAACTCATTTATACAAAAAAGACATTTCAAATTTGTTCTTTCTTTTCTTTTTATAATGACGGACAATTTTTGAAAATAGAATAATTAAGATTTAGTACACACCTCTGACCCTCAACAGATTTTGACTTTTTAAAGTATCCGTGTCAAAATTTTTTTGCAAGGTCTTGTAATCAGCAAAAATATTTGAGAGGGTCTGGTAGGAATTTACAGAATAGAGAATAATGGCAAAAAAGTGAATAGAGAAAAATGAGCAAAAAATATTAAGAATAGAAAATAATTGGGTGCAAAAAAATAAAGAATAACTGGAAAATAATTAAAAAGAATTATGTATTTAAATACTGATTACAGAAATGAACGATGTACAGAATAAAGAAATCATCTAATTAAAAAACAAATAATAGTAAAATTATTTTCAGGATAATTTTACAGAAGAAGCGTTATTCCTTAAAGATAATGAAAAAAATGCCCTAAAATTTAAAGAATATAGAAATTAAGGACCCCCATCCAGACCCTCAGATTTATCCTTGCCCAAAAGGAAGCATGTTTTCAAGTCATATTATATATGTTATGTACGAGTTGTTATTTTGTACATTACATACTGGAAGCTAAAATATTCTTTTTAATAAACAGGATACCATGGTTTTCATACAAACATTTACCGCCTTATGATTCTTCCGCAAATTTGCAGATTTAACATTGTTGTGCTGATATTTAGAGTAATGATGAATTTAATATGTGTTTTCAGCCGTGTATCACCTTCACTGGTGATCCAATCAATGGATCTGTCGTAGAGTTGTCACTTGTTTGGACGTACTTATCAAATAATTATTTCTGTGACTGCATCTTACGATCCTTTACGACAGATAATTTAGTTAATCTGCAATCAATTCCATCCTCATGCCTAATATATCATATACTGTGTTACAACTCTAGATTCTACTGACGAGGAAAGGTAACAACACTAGGCCACCGAAAGCTGGATTTTTAGTTCAGTCTAGGTGGCCGAGTGGTCTAGAGCGTTGGACACAGTGCAGGCGGTGTTTTCACGATATCCCAATAGCATGAGTTCGAATCCCGGCGAGGGAAGAACAAAAACTTGCGGAAAGATTTAACATTGTTGTGCTGATATTTAGAGTAATTATGAATATAATATGTGTTTTCAGCCGTGTAAATGTATCACCTTCACTGGTGATCCAATCAATGGATCTGTCGAAGAGTTGTCACTTGTTTAGACGTACTTCTCAAATAATTATTTCTGTGACTGCATCTTACGATCCTTTACGACAGATAATTTAGCTAATCTGTAATCATGATGATGGAAGTTTTTAACGACCTTGACTGGCTATACAGCCCTCGCACGGTCGGTATCTGCAATCAATTCCATCTTCATGCCTTATATATCATGTACTGTGTTACAACTCTAGATTCTACTGACGAGGAAAGGTAACACTAGGCCACCGAAAGCTGAATTTTTAGTTGTCTAGTTGGCCGAGTGGTCTAGAGCGCTGGACACAGTGCAGGCGGTGTTGTCACGATATCCTTATAGCATGAGTTCGAATCCCGGCGAGGGAAGAACAAAAATCTGCTTCCGCAAATTTTCAGATTTAGCATTGTTGTGCTGATATTTAGAGTAATTATGAATATAATATGTGTTTTCAGCCGTGTATCACCTTCACTGGTGATCCAATCAGTAGAGTTGTCACTTGTTTAGACGTATATATATCTATGGAGAATGTCTGTCATAAAGTTGTCACATATTTAGACGTGTATAATAAAAAATAATTCTTGTTGTGATTTATTGGTCGCAAGCTTGAAAGGTCGCTTAAAGCTTGTCGCTAGCTTGAATCTTGGTTTTTTTTTTATGTCTTTTGATAAAAAAAATTTAATATTTACAATTGGCCAAAATTGAACCTTAAACTTATATTAAATAATGGGTTTTTAGTTGCAACTTATGGCTAGAGGCTGAAATCCAGTTGAAATTAAACAAAAGAAATGGAACTCTTTATTAGAGAAAGTAAAACTGGTATAGTTGGTATAATATATTTGAAATGTTTCTATGGGCTTTAAAAGTTTAATGTAGGTGCATAATCATTTAGAATGTTTTGCATCTTATATACCTGTTTATACTTGAATAAGAGTATGAAGCTTCGTGATATCATATTTTAAAACTTTTAAATTAATTAAAAGACAAATTTTCACAAAACAGTCGAATATGAATGGGGCAAATACATGTGGATCTTGTTTGTACATAAGCAAAGATTCCACCGAAAACGAATCCACAGAAAGATGAATGATTGATCTTGTTAGGCATCAAATTGCATATTTGTAGTTAGTTTATGCTTCTCTCTTCTGTATGATAATTTTTCGCTTCTCCCTTCTGTCTGACAACTTTTTCAAGGACTAATTCAGTATACTTATTGTTTATTGAAATTATGACAAAATATTTTATTCACAAAACACTCGTGCGTTTCTGTCCAAAATATAAACGGGAAAGTATATCCATGAGCGATGCACTCGCGCATGTTTTTTTTTTTTTTAGTCTATAAAAAAAACCATATATATCTTTATTCTCAATAAACCATATACATAGGTATAGAGAAGACATTTATGTACAGTATTTACAATAAGACAGAACAAACAAGACAATTGATAAGACAATGTATGAAATAAATTTTAGCCAGGAGCACATATACCTGTGTTGATAATCTTTATAAATTTACAAAGTTTAATCAGTTTTGATTTGTGTTTTGAAGACATAATCTGCTTGTATTTTACAATATTTGCATTTTTAAAATAATAATGTGACATACAGTGTTTCCTGTTTTCTTCAAAGTATTTACATTCTAATATGTAATGAAATTCATCACCAATGTCATTTTTATTACATAGAAGACACAGTCTATTATTTCTAACTATATTGTTCCATCTACCCTGTTCAATAGGGAGCTTGTGATTTGTGGTCCTAAATCTACACAAATCAATAGATAGTTTGTTCCCAAGAATTTCAAAATAATCTTCTTTTCCAAAAAAATCTTTAAAAAGTTTATAATTAAGTGCTTTTGGTGAGTTTTCAAGCAGAGAATGCCAGACTTGTACAAACTGATCTTTAAGTCTGAGCTTGATGAATGAAACTAACCATTTGCAATTTATAAATGATTGTGTTTCCCATACATTTGGGATACCACATTCATTTAAAATAGTCTTTACTCTGTTTAACCATGAAAAATTCACATTGTCATTAATAGACATGTGATAACACAATTTATATAAAGTATATGATAGTTTCGTCACTTTACCAGAATTTAATTTCCCCCAAAATGAGATCAATCTAGTTTTTATGTCCAAGTCTATAGGATATCTTCCAAGCTCCCCATAAATCATGTAAGAGGGTGTTGATGTTTTCAGACCTAATAATAATTTACAAAATTTCAGTTGTACCCTTTCAATTATGTCATTATTTCCAATACCCCATACTTCACAACCGTACAGTAATATTGGTTTCACCATTTTATCAAATAAGTCCAACTGACTACATATAGAAAGATTATGAAGACGACCTAGTCTTAACACTTCGTAAAGAGCCTTAGTGGCCTTTTCTACGCTAAATTGTTTTGTTTTATTGTCAATTGTGAACTGACCCGAGTTTTTTGTTTAACACGACCAGTTTGTGCTACTGACATTATCAGCAGATCAGAGAGTACATCAAAGTAATAGTGTATAAATTACCGATAATTACAAATTACAGTTACATAATGTAACTAATTGCACCGAAAACGGACTTATTTATTTTTTCAATGGTAATAACACGATTTGATTATCAAATTATCAACATGTTAACTCTTAATAAATACACCCCATGCGGTTGTTTTATACAACGAAGGGGTACATCTATATTTTTTTGGAACTTCAACTTTTAAAAATTATAATTTTTTATTTTTTTTAAATGTGTTATTCGAAACCCTAAATAAGCCTCATTTACAACTGGCCAATGAATTATATTCTGCACAAGAACTTTTTGGTATATGATTATATTTACCGATTTAAATCTGTCGGTAATCAGTTATCAGGAGATAGATTCATAAGAAAAACAGTAAGTAAATCTCGTCCAATATAAATTAGTTTGTTTAGACAACTTTTAACTAACCTAGACGAAAACGTTCATCAGAATATTTAGGTAACATTTTTTTAATGTTCATTTAGATTTTAACCATATGTATTTGCTTACTTCGTAACATGCACATGTACAATGCTTACAGTGTTCGCTAACCAGTCCAATATAATGGAATTTGATGCGACTGTCATATAAGTGAGAGGTTTAGCTAGCTATAAAACCAGGTTCAATCCACCATTTTCTACATAAGAAAATGCCTGTACCAAGTCAGGAATATGACAGTTGTTATCCATTCGTTTGATGTGTTTGAGCTTTTGATTTTGCCATTTGATTAGGGACTTTCCTTTTTGAATTTTCCTCGGAGTTCAATATTTTTGTGATTTTACTTTTTATAAATAGATTAATTAAATTTTTTAAAGCTTTGTTTTAAATTAAAAACAATGCCTGTAAACTTTAATGAATGAAATCGTATTAAAACAGCCCAAATGTAACATCTCTAGAATCAAGTGATGTAGGTTTGAAGGGTTACTAGCTCAAACTGTGTATAGGGAAAACGCGGGTAGTATTTATTCTGCCATAGGCGATAATTCTAACATTTTCTAAATTTACCACTTTTTATAATAAAAATCAGGACAAAACAGTTATGTGTGGCATTAGTACTTTACTATTCTGTTTTAGAAATTGAAGTGAAATAGTGTCATGACCATCTTCGAACGGAGCTTGTTTATGGTATCCATGCCCACCGTCATTTTACATCAAATTTATGAAAATTTGGAAGTCTTTTCGAATAATTCTTAGGATTATATTTCAAAGGGTTTCAAAATTTATATTGTAAATATACACACTGCAGTTATCAATAGATAAATAAAAAAATATATATATTGTAACCTTAGACGAGATATTTCGACTGACAAGATTTAGTGGAGATATCGATTACGGGGAAGGACTGAATTATTCGGGTTATAATAGCTAGATTGATGATCAGTCTTGTATGTTTTAGTCATCCGACATTAATTTCAAGTCTACATCGCCTTACAGATCGGCATATTTTGACTTCATTTACTGGCTTCTTTTGTTTGGGTTTAATAGTAATAAAGACTACTACTTCTACGGGGGAGTTTAAAGACCTTGTTTACCCATGAGGGTCTCGCTCGGTAGGTAAAAAAATATGAAGTAGCAATTCTTACCTTAATTTATACCTTTTGTTCTATTGATAAAAATCTATGGACTAGTTTAGTGTCCAGTCTTCACTGTACACGTGTGTGTATATGAAAAGTAAAGCAAATTATAATTCAGCTGTACATTTTCAGCTTTGAATATTAAAAAATAAAATAGATAAGGCACCGACCGTTCATCTTAAGAGGGATGGTTTTTTTCCTCGACAATATTAAATTTTATTTTTCAACTTTTTTAATCACAGACAATTGTTTTCAAAAACATACAGGAACAAAAAATTGTTTAAAACATAAATGTTTTTATTGATTTTATTAACAATCCCTTCTCTATTTGTGACATTTTGTTCACGCATCGTTGTCAATATAATGGAATTTGATGCGACTGTCGTACAAGTGAGAGGTTTAATTAGCGCTATAAAACCAGGTTCAGTCCACCATTTTCTACATAAGAAAATGCCTGTACCAAGTCAGGAATATGACAGTTGTTGTCCATTCGTTTGATGTGTTTGTGCTTTTGATTTTGTCATTTGATTAGGGACTTTCCGTTTTGAATTTTCCTCGGAGTTCAGTATTTTTGTGATTTAACTTTTTTCTTTTCTTCGGGTAGCAGCGGGGGTAAGGCTCTCGCTTTGAAAGCAGAAATCAATGCAATTGAATGGGGGCAACGGTTCGAATCCCGTCCAAGAAAAAAACCTCTTAAACTTATACCTTTTTTTTAATTACCATATTTTTCCTATAATTTTTATTTATACAAACTAGGCATTATTGACATCATCATGGCAATTTGGAAAGAACAAAAGATTTATTGACATGGCCTAATTTTCTATAAATGTACATGTAATACTTAAAAGGAATTCTATGTTTCCGTAATCTTTTCCAGACAAGGTTGATTTACAGGACATTTAATGACTTAACTTAACTTAAATTTCAATTTCAAAAACACAAGATGCCATATCATTTTTCCATTTTCGCTTACATTTAACTGTTTTGTTCCTTTCTTTACGCACAGGTAGATATACTAGTCAACAAAAGAAACGATACAAGGCAATGTATTTTCCATATATAATGAAATTGGATACACTGTACCAAAGTAAATAATTGCCCAATTGGTCAAATATTTACAGAGTGTTACTTTCTTATCAAAACCACAATGATTAATTTTGATTTGAGGCAAAATCGCGATTTTTTGTTGTTGCAATTTTTGTTATTTCAAAAATCGTATTTTCTCCAAAAAATTCAAAAATCGGTATTAGAACTTAAAACTTTAAACTTAAACATGGTCTGCTTAAAATTTTGAATGCCTTTGCAGATATTTGAATACTTAATTCTCATCTATTCGAAATTAAGTGCCGACTTTTGTTATCATTTTCCGCAAAATAAATGTGACCCCTGTGTTCAATAATACGGTATTTTCTCACTTTCCAATTTGTCCAGATTCTTTTAATCATATGCATTTGCTTTGCAAATGAATGTTTTTCATTGGATAAGTTAACATATTTCCTATTTATTATATTTTATGATAAATTGGAGTTCAAACTTGTGTAACGTTACTTTTGTTGACTAGTATAATTTTATGATGAAAATTGTTGACCTGTTCTCTCTATAGTGTCGTAAATGATTTTATTACGGCTCAGTACAGCACTGTTCCGGGTAACAAATGATTTTATTACGGCTCAGTACAGCACTGTTCCGGGTAACAAATGATTTTATTACGGCTCAGTACAGCACTGTTCCGGGTAACAAATGATTTTATTACGGCTCAGTACAGCAGTGTTCCGGGTAACAAATGATTTTATTACGGCTCAGTACAGCAGTGTTCCGGGTAACAAATGATTTTATTACGGCTCAGTACAGCAGTGTTCCGGGTAACAAATGATTTTATTACGGCTCAGTACAGCAGTGTTCCGGGTAACAAATGATTTTATTACGGCTCAGTACAGCACTGTTCTGGGTAACAAATGATTTTATTACGGCTCAGTACAGCACTGTTCCGGGTAACAAATGATTTTATTACGGCTCAGTACAGCACTGTTCCGGGTAACAAATGATTTTACACTTGTCTAAGTACAAACATTCAGATAGTTCTACGTCTTTTTCCGTTTTAACTGACAAATTCTGGACAGAATTGACCATTTCATGAATGTCTACATTAATACCAATTTTTACGGATAAAATCGATTTCAAAACTTTTTTACGAAGTTTAACAACGTGTCCTGTAAAGTTTATCAAAACAGTGTTTGTACTTTTTCTCTTAGAGTGGTTCATATAATGAACTAAAGAGTCATTTGTTGTACCTTTTCTCATGGAGTGGCTCATATATTGAGCTAATGAGTCATTTTTTGTACCTTTTCTTATGGAGTGGCTCATATATTGAACTAAAGAGTCATTGTTTGTACCTTTTTTCATAAAGTGGCTCATATATTAACTTAAAAAGATTTTTTGTACCTTTTCTCATGGAGTGGCTCATATATTGAACTAAAGAGATTTTTTGTACCTTTTCTTATGGAGTGGTTCATATATTGAACTAAAGAGATTTTTTGTACCTTTTCTCATGGAGTGGCTCATATATTGAACTAAAGAGTCATTTGTTGTACCTTTTCTCATGAAGTGGCTCATATATTGACTTAAAGAGATTTTTTGTACCTTTTCTTATGGAGTGGTTCATATATTGAACTAAAGAGTCATTTGTTGTAACTTTTCTCATGGAGTGGCTCATATATCTAACTAAAGAGTCATTTTTTGCCAACTTGTACATCCAATAAAGAAAACAACAAATCAAACCTTTTATATTTAATATTTTTGAACAAACAGAAAAAAATAGTGATTTTATCTAAGTCGTATGCACTGTGTTTCATCGCCACCGGAAATTTAGTACCAACGAAGCGAAGAGAAAAGGGAGAAAATAAACAAGGTAAGAATTCCTTTAATTTAAACCATGTCTACTGATTTAATGAGGTTATCGCTTATGACACGGTTTTCTGATATATAATGCTATAATCTTTTATTCCAACAAGTAGCAACCAAAGGCATGGTTGTGTGTTATACTCAAAGCTGTGCACACTTGGTTCCGGAAAATTTTCGTTCTCCGTCGCTCCGCTGGCCAAGTTTTCAAATGTTTTTCTTTCTTTTTCCAGAGTTAATTTTAGATTATGGTAGTGTGACTTCATATTTACTTAAATTCGCTATCAATAAGAAGTTTTATAAAGAATATTATGTACCAAAACAATGTTTATTTAATGTACGCCGAATTGCAGGACGTGGTACGGCGAATTGCAAAATAACAAGTTTTCTATACGGCGTATTGCAATATACTGTATAATGTAAAGTAAAATATGATAGTAATCACTATAAAGATAATATAAAGAAACGATATGGTGCACATACCAAAGCGTTACCAGCTTACAAATATACGAAATAAACTACATAGTAAATATCATAAAATATTTGCCGTTAATTTCATTCAGACGTCATCATTGCGTACCATCATGGACGTGTTTTGACAGACAACAATGATATCTATATTATCCAAAATATATTTATATGTCGTTATACTCATTAATATCCTACTACAATGTAAGACTCTCTTACATGTTGTAAGGGAGAATTTTCTAAAGTTCTATAAAACAACGATCATTCATCATTTGTTGGGTTTTTTTTTAATACATTGTTTTATTTTAAATTTCTTGAATACATAATATTTTTAGAAGGAAAGTGAACAAACTACTTTGTTATCATTGAAAAGTAGGGGGAATCGACAATACATTGTTTTTCGAACTAATATTCTAGTCAGTTTCGGTATTTTATTGGAAGATAGCTTCTTTATTTTTATTTCGGTCGACGCAAATGTTTGTCACGAGAGAAAAATCAAACCTCCCCGAGGATTAATGGTCGGTGCGTAAAGTATAAAACTTGACTTACACCGAAAGAAATATAAGTTCTGCTGAGTTTTTGTCTCGAACACCTCAATCTCGGCTCACTATCAAGACAGGTTTTCCTTCTCCTTTCTGTAAATAACAACGTCAATTCAGATTGAAATGCAGGTAAACATTTGGCTACAAATGTAGATACTGCATACTTCTGCATACGATGGTCACATGCACATGTTTTGTAACTCTTCAGATGTGTCCTTTGGTTGTGTTTTGCCTGTTTTTTTGCCTATAACAGCTCTTTTTTTTCTTTAAACTCTCTAAACCAATGCCTTGGTTACCGTGCTTCCTGTATTTAAACACGCTTTACTTATTTCGTGCCATTTTAACTATTTTTTTACATTATCAATATTTTATGACTGGGAGAAACTAATTTTTGATTTGTTCAATGTCAATTGACTACATTACATTGCATCTAATATCTGACGTGAAAAAGAGGCGAAAGTTATTAAATCATACACGTGAACTCCGACTTCCTCCACCAATATAAACTGACCGCCAGTAAGTATGAAGTCACACTATCATAGTCTAAAACTTTGTCTGTAAAAAGAAAGAAACACAGTTAAATATCTGGCCAGCGGGGCGACGGGGACGATTGACTTCGACATTTTCTGATACCAAGTGCATATTATACTTTTGAAATATAACACAAAATCTTGTCTTTGTTTGCTACTTGTTGACATAAATGATTAAAGTACTATATATATCAGAAAAACGTTTCATAAGCTGTTATCTCATCAAATCAGTAAAAACGGTTTAAACTAAAGGAATTTTTACCTTGTTTTTTTTCCTTGCTCTCCGATTCGTTGAAACCCAATTTCCGGTGGCGATGAAACACAGTGACTATATGTGTATTAATATACAGTTGTGAACACATGGCCATACATCCTGTCCATACTTTTTTTTTCAAAGCATAATTTCATGCTTTTTTTCAATCTGTTTATGAAGTCTTTACACTAAATCTGTTTGAGGTGTTCTGTTTAGTATTTAGACTGGGTAAAAGTTTATTTATTATTAACTAGCTTAACATATATGCGAGAACTGTTTTGGTACTCTGTGTGCTTTTTGTTTTTGTTTTTGTTTTTGTGCGTCGTGCAAATCTGATGAGTCGACGCATTTCCAACTGATGTTGACAGCTTGTTCGTATGTTGTGCTGTTGTTCTTTTGTGTAATATTGTTGCAGAATGAGTGAATGGTTCCCATCAACATAGATTGCTTTTAAATATTGTGACATCCTACCAAATTATTACTTTGAGTTGGGTAGCTCAATAGTTGTGAAAGTGGATCAGATGAGGTTTACCATTGTAGAAGACCTCTTTTAAATATCAAGCAGGGGCGCATCCAGCCATTTTTAAAAAGGGGGGGGGGGGGTCCCAACCCAGGATAAAGGGTGCGGTTCCAATCATATGTCCCCATTCAAATGCATTAATCGTCCAACAAAAAGGGGGGTTCCAACTCCCCCCCCCCCCCCCTGGATCCGCCACTGTCAAGCAATGTTGCCCATCATTCTGTAGTCATGATATGTGCGGTGTTACACCACTATCTCTGGTTAGGGGATGATTGATCGTTCATAAACAAATTTGTCTCTTGTGGAGAGTTGTCTCGTTGGCAATTATACCACATCTTCTTTTTGTCATATTGACCCCTCCACATTTGTTTTCCGTTTTTAGATTTGTCATAAATCTGACCGTTGGTTTTCTCTTTTGAATTATTTCACATTTTGTTATGTCATCCAATATATAGCTGACCATATATACGGTATTGTTTTTTCAAACTGTTGAAGACCATACCATGCATACGTTTACCTATAGTTGCTGACATTTATATTTGGATATAGTTATGATTATGATTAGTTGTCTCATTGCCAATTATAACAAATCTCCTTGGTTCGTTCTAAAAAAAAGTCTAAAAAGTCGAGACTATATATTGCAGATATTTTTTTCTTACGGTCATTTAAAAGTATAATAATGCAATTTTGTAAAATAAAAGCAAGAGAAAAGCGGTCGAAATCATTTGGAGCTTCTGCATGTTCTGTGACATGTCATAGTGGGAGAATTTATATGAATGAATGTTGAATATAAGCTGACAATAGTGTCAATAAATAAAAAAATAAAAAAACCCAAAACGAGACAATTGATTGTAGATTGTTTCTTTCGGTCATTGTCAGGTAGTATTGGTCTTTCACATTTTCGTAAAAAAGCTCACATTTTAAGTTTCGGAAATCGTTTATTAATTTTATATTTCAGTATATTTAGAATAGCGAATGGAAACGGGGAATGTGTCATAGAGACAACAACCCGAATAAAGAGCAATGTAATTTATATATATTTATTTATTTTTATTATCATTTCAGTGGTACCTTCAAAATGGTCCTTCATGACGAGTCTTTTATTAATTCTTTTCTCAACTGTCTACAGCCTTTCTACGAAAGACAAAAACGCAGCTAACTATGGCCTTGCAATTGGAAAAGGGATAGCTGATCTGCTTGAAAAGAGAGATTTTGCAAAGTCTTTAACAATGATCGGGAAAAGTATTGGTCCCTACCTTGGCGCATTAGGTCCCATCGTAGGGGTCATCATGGCGTTCATCCCATCCGAGTCTGCTGAGTTAGCTTTCATGAAAAAAATGATGAAGGAGATCGACACACGCTTGGATCATATAGATAATCGATTTAACGATATCGAACGACTGATTGAATGGAGTGTTGTTAAAGTCAACTTCGGGCAAATAGAACAAAATATAAAAGTAGTGTCGCGTGAGTTTCAATATATTTACGCTGTTCCGCAGGCTGCAGTGGAAAACAGGAAGGTGCTTTATCTTTCGAGATATGATAATGATTATCAAAATAGTGGCACCAAATTGTATGATGTCATTGTCGAAAAACAAGGTCTATTTCAAGAAGATCTTGGTACTTCCGTCATGCGTTATACCAAAATTGACCGCAGAAAGACGCAGTTATTTCTTCTCGGTGTTATGCAACTTCTCTTGCAAGCTGTAAAAGTAGAATTAGGCTATCTTCTAGTTAAACAATATACACACAACGCACATTTTATGCAGTTGGATTGGGAAAATAGAATACAGAAAGTGCGAAGGAAGTTCGAGGAAATTGACAACCAGTGCGTAGTAAAATATCACACTCAATCCGGAAATGATATTGACGAATATTCTTCCGCAAACAAAGATCTGACGAATAGGCAATTTGCAAATGGACTATTAAATCTCCTTCGCGGAAAATACGACTGGAGGGACTGGGTTGTTATCGCCTATGACCCAGTAAAGGGCGGTGACAAACATTGGATTGGGGTCAGTGGAGGACACATGAAATTTAGGAAAGATGGAAGAAACATAGTAGTGGCAAGTGTAGACAAGAGCCATTCAGTCATGGATTTAGCAAGAGCTGAACTGGAAATGAAAACAGTATCCACGACAAAGAAGAATTGGTGGCACGGAATCGTGGCTCGAGCGGCAAAAGATATTTTTTACTCCTTAGATAAACGAGGTGCCTCATTGGTTAGTGTTATAAGGTCTGACGAGGATGCAAATTACTTTGGTGACTCTTTGAGAGCGAAATTCGTCCGCAGAGCGCCTTATTATGAGCTTCTGATGTGGGGCTGAAAGATTTTTATAGGTGTACACGGAGTGGTATTGTCACTCGTATGATTAAATTAAATCTATAATTCAATGTATTTGTTATTACCATTCATTTATTTTGCAATGACAATGTACGTCTTTGAATACGTTGCGTTCAGTCTGTATATTTACAACAAAAAAAACAACAACATTTGTATGATACTATTATTTATATTATCTTTTAAACACTTCTCGATACAGTTTTGAAAATTAAATAATGAGCTCAGGTTAGTGTTCAATATTTGCCTGTACCGTAATTATTGTATGATATTCGCCAAATTAAAAAAAAGAAATTAACATTTGGAGACATTCACATATATAACTCATAAGCGTCGTCAACAATATTTGTTTTGCTGGAGAAAAGGATTCCTAATAGTTTTACCAAATTCCTTGACATCAATAGATAGTTATTAATCTAAAATAAGGAGATATGGTATAACTATCATTTAGACAATTATCCACGAAAGTCTTCTCTCACAATGCCGTTGATTGAAGCAACTTTAGGTTCCGTACGGTCTTCAACAATGAGCAATACCCATAACGGATAATAAACTATTAAGTGTGATTAATCGATGGTTACGACTTTTGAAATATTTATGATAATAAGGCCAAAAAAATAATACATGTGTTTCCGCTAACGTGCTGGGAAAAAATAGGGTAGGTAGGTAGGCAATATCATTTTATTTTACAAACATTTTTAGCTGGTTACTACTAGGGAATCTGTCTGACTTTAACAGTGCTTGCTCAAAAATGGCATAAAAAGTGTTAGGGTAGGTAGGGTTAACGGAAACACATGTATTATTTTTTTGGCCTTATGAGATGCTGTATGATAGCCAATGAGACTACTACCAACCCAAATTCAAATGATCTGGATTTGACGAACTATAATAGGTCACCGTTCGGCCTTCAACAATGAGAGAAACGAATATTGTAGTCGGTTATAAAAGGCCCCGATATGATGATATGTAAAACTATTCAATTGGAATTATAAAAACCATTGGCTTTATTTTTGACTGAAAAAATAACGAAAAACAAATATGACGGACAACCAACGTCAACTACTGTTTTACAGGCTCATGACTTTGGACATGCACATATCTTCGCCAGAAAAAAAAGTAATCGTTTAAATCCTGCCAAAAAATGCTGAAATTGTTTATTATAAACCTTGAAAATAACGAACTTTTAGTTTTGTTTAAACTCAAAATATAAATCTGTCTTAAAGAGTTTTCGTTGGAAGCTTGGCATGTCTAAATATAAAACTACAATGTATATGCCCAAAACTCAAATTTTCCACTTTCATTGAGGTACAATAGATATTTATATTTACAGATACATAGTTTTCATATTTTTCTTTTTTGTTTGTTTGTATAGTTTTGACTGCCAATATACTAATTATTTAAAAAGTACATCTTTTTTCAAAATTGAAAACCACCCCCTTTTTTGTAAAATCGGATACGTTTACCCGGGAACATTATTTTATGATGGTTTTCAATTTTTTAGTTGAAAAATTAAATAAGGAAAAAACAATATGCACATTTGCTATCATTCTACAGCAAAAAGTGAATTTAAATTTGAATTAAACTTTTTTTTTTTAAATGGCTGTTGACCTTTGACCTTGAATTTTTGAAAAAAAAAACAAACTGCACCATATATTTTTTTGACGAGTCGACCGCATTCATTTTAAGGAACACACATTTTAAAATCAAATGATATTTGATATAACCGTATTGTAGTTCTGACGATCAAATTTAGAAAATCTCTGGCTCTGGTCACTGGGCTAATGAGAGTATTTCTTTTACTGTAACACTGCTTCTATTCTTATAAAAGCGACGCGCCTTGAAAATATGAAAACATGTAGCAGTTTTGTTATAAGACGATTTCTTTTGGTTTTGATTTTAGGAATTGAAAATATTTCTTAAAATAAGTTATACTCGTAAAATAAAGTGATCAATATGATAAGGATGATATAAATTTCCCAGATATCCTTTTTTCATAATCATTTGTTTTGATTTGTTTTTTTTTTATAAACTAAGTATTACGTGTTCGTCCGTCTTTTTTTTTATAAACTAAGTATTGTGTTCGTCCGTCTTTTTTTTTATAAACTAAGTATTGTGTTCGTCCGGTTTTTTTTTATATACTAAGTATTGTGTTCGTCCGGTTTTTTTTGGGGTTTATAAACTAAGTATTGTGTTCGTCCGTCTTTTTTTTTATTATTAACTAAGTATTGTGTTCATCCGTCTTTTTTTATAAACTAAGTATTGTGTTCGTCTGTCTTTTTTTTTTTTGTTATTAACTAAGTATTGTGTTCATCCGTCTTTTTTTATAAACTAAGTATTGTGTTCGTCCGTCTTTTTTTTATATAAATTAAGTATTGTGTTCGTCCGTCTTTTTTTTTTATATAAACTAAGTATTGTGTTCGTCCGTCTTTATTTTTTTTTATAAACTAAGTATTGTATTCGTCCGTTTTTTTTGTGTTATAAACTAAGTATTGTGTTCGTCCGGTTTTTTTTTTATAAACTAAGTATTGTGTTCGTCCGGTTTTTTTTTTATAAACTAAGTATTGTGTTCGTCCGGTTTTTTTTTATTATTAACTAAGTATTGAAGGATGAAAAATTTTGTCCTGCATTTTTTTTTTTAGTTGTAATCTCTGTCCTGCATTTTTATTTTTCACTCTATTCGGTCCTGCCTTTTGTATTTTTAAGTTTATCCTGACTTTTTTTTTACCTAAATTGTCATCCTGACTTTTTTTTTGCAAGTGTCTCATCCTGCCCTTTTTTTAACTCAAAACTCATGTCCTGCCTATTTTTTTCAAATTTCATCCTAGCCCCCCATAAAAATCAAATGGTAGCTCCCTAATAAGAAAATCAAAGGATGATTTTAACAACAATTTAATTAAAAAAAATCATGAACAGTAACCCGTCCACTACTAATTGGTGGAAAATGGTCAAACAATTATCCAGATTAAAATCAAACGACTCAAGTGTACCTCCATTAATGGTTAATAACAACTTAATATTTGATGAAATCGAAAAGGCAAATGAATTTAATCGGGTTTTTTTCTTCCCAGTCAAATATAGATGACTCAAGTGCCATGTTACCTGAAGAACTTCATAATATTAGTGATGTCATTAGTAATATAGAACTTACTTTTACTGAAGTTGAAGATATATTGAAAATTGTTAATCCCACAAAAGCTTCTGGTCCAGACCTCATAAATCCCAAATTATTAAAAGAAGCATCTTCTGTATTAAAGTATCCATTATGTAAGCTATTTAACTTGTCCTTAAGTACATCTACTTTTCCAGATCAATGGAAAAGAGCAGATGTTACCCCAGTTTATAAAATTAGTAAACCGAATGACGTGAAAAACTATATACCTATTTTTTGTTGAGTGTAGTTTCAAAGTGTATGGAACGCTGTGTATATAAACATGTTTACAATCATTTAAAGAGTAATAACATTTTAACCAAAAATAAGTCAGGCTTTACACGGAGGGATTCAGCGGTTAATCAATTAATTAATATCTCAAATGATTTTGGAAATGCTTTAGATAGCGGTAAAGAAATTATGGTAGAATTCTGTGATATAAGTAAAGCTTTTGATCGAGTCTGGCATAAGGGACTCCTATTCAAACTTCAACAAACGGGCATATCAGGTTCTTTATTAAAGTGGTTTGAAAATTATCGGGTGGTTATTAACGGTTCAAGTTCTGAATGGCTACCTGTAAATGCAGGCGTCCCACAAGGGTCCATTCTGGACCCTCTCCTTTTTTTGATATTCATAAACGATATTGTAGAAGATATTCAATCTCAAATTAAACTATTTGCAGATGACACTTCATTATATATTATGGTTGATAATCCAACAGAAGCAGCTACAAGTTTAAATAACGATTTAGATAAGATTTATAATTGGTCAAAGAAATGGCTTGTGAATTTTAATGCCCAAAAGACTGAATCAAAGTATGATAATTTCAAAAAAAATAAATAGACCCTTTCATCCTCCATTAAATATGAATACCCAAGAGCTACAAATAGTAAGTAAACACAAACATCTAGGTGTCTTTTTTTCTAACAACGGATCTTGGAACGACCATATTGAATATATAATTTCTAAATCTTACAAAAGAATAAATATAATGAGAAAAATGAAAAAAGTTCTTGATAGCTTTACACTTGAAAAAATTTACTATCATTTGTTCGCCCAATTCTCGAATATGCCGATGTCGTTTGCACTCAAAATCAGAATTTGATTACTAAACTTGAAAATATCCAGCTTGACGCAGCGCGTATCGTCACGGGGGGTACTAAACTTACTAGTATTAGTAATTTATATGTGGAAACTGGATGGGAAAAATTATCGGATAGGCGACGCAATCATAGATTAATTCTTTATCACAAAATTTTGAATAATAAAACTCCAGAGTATTTAAGAGACTTAATGCCCGATTCAGTAGGAAGTAGACATTATACAAGACACAGAAATAATATTACACAACTCAACACACGGACCCGTTTATATTCTGAATATTTAAGCCCAGCAACAACAAGACTATGGAACACTCTTAACTTAAATATAAGAAAATGTGAATCTCTACCATTATTCAAAAAACAAATTCGTACCCAAAATAGTAAGGTCCCAATGTATTATTATGTAGGATATCGTCTTGGTCAAATTATTCATGCTCACTTAAGAATGGATTCAAGTTCATTGAATTCTCACCTATTCCTTCGCAATTTAGTAGACTCCTCAAACTCTCGTTGTGGTGATGAGAAACAAATTCTCACTTCCTGTTATCTTGTCCCATATACACTGATTTAAGACATGAACTATTAGCTTCTGTTTCAGTTCTTCCTGTCCAAGTTGACACACAAATTTTGCTTTTTGGATCAATGGTACTCTCAGATGAGCAAAATAGTCATTTATTTAGTTTGGTGCAGAAATATATTATCAAAAGCAAACGTATTAACCCTTGATATTACTGTTTCATCATTCAATAGGAGCCCAAGTATTTCACATTGTATACATTACAAAAATTCATGTTTATTTTTTTTTCTCTATTGTATTTTCCACCTTTTTCATATTTATATATTCATTACAGAGCATGCCAGTATTTATATTTATGTATCGTTCAATAAGTGTATTATTTGTGAAATAGGTGACAGATTTGTAAAAGCAAATTTGCTTGTTTCTGAATCTTTAATATTTATTTCAATTGTATCATATC